TATCGAAGTGGAAAAATGTCGAAAAAATAATATCGACATGAAAAATGGATGATAAATGTTTTATACAGTTGTGAATAATGAAGAACATGTTTTATTATATGAGTTAACGTTAACGTTCTAAGAGAGACCAAATATAGATAATGAAAAAAAAATCGATTTGTCATTTTTTCTGTTTAGCAACTGTAAATGATAAACCGTCTAAGTATTCCATAGCACTTATAGCACCATCATAATATCGTTGGCCAAGATTATCTATACGACGTTGAATAGCAATTGTTTTAGCTTGTTTTGGTCTAATGCCTAAACCTGCACTAAACTGAACATACATAGGATGAAAACGATTTTCTTCTCCTTGCAAAATTTTTATGAATGGCCAAATATTTGGATGATTAACTTGTACTCGACGATTAAAACGACTATGAAATGCTATATTAAACATAAGAAAATGATATTTCGAGTTAAATAAAAGAAAAAGTTCACCTTCAGCATTATTATTGGTCCTTGTGTGAAGACCATGTACACACCATTGAGAAATAGGAACTTTGACATACTATTGCTGTTGAAAATATTCTAATAAATCATTTAGTGTGTCCTTCAATTGTTTTGGCATTGTTACAATTAATTCATCATAAGTATCTTCAATAATAGCTTCTGGTAGCAATGGGAGAGCCATCAATTTTCGACAATATTGTTTAACATCATCATCATCATTATAGGATGTTGATAAACCAACGCGTTGTATTGCTCGATATATGGCTTGAGTGAAGTGGAAATAGCAAGATGAGTGTGTTGCTGTAGCAAACTATTAAAAACAAAAATCTGTAAATTACTCTCGAGAAATATAAAAAGCTCACTTCAGTTGAAACTACAGCCAGTAGTCCTGGTTCAAAATCGCTCATGATTGTTTTTGGTGCAAAATTCAATTGCATTTGTAAAGCGATTGATTTCAATTCATTGAACATGAAATGATATGTACTTTTCTGTCGATTACGTAATAAACCAAAAACACAGGGAAATGCTAAATGGCAACATAATTAGATAAAGTTATATGATCTAGAATTATGCTCTTTACTCACATTGATCGTATTTTATTGCATGAATGGTGTACACTTGATCGAACATGTTCGGACAAGTAGAAAAAGTTCCATCCATTAGTATTGTTTCAGCAGTGAAAAGCATTTTCATTTGTTCATTTGATGAAAACAAAAGTATTCGTTGTCGTCTTGTTATCATCTTGTCAACAATCAAAAAATCATTTTTCTGCAATATTTTCGAATAAGCATCAGGAATATCAAATAATTGTGTCGTTGGGATTGTAGGTGTAATAGCCCGGCGTGCTTTGTTAATTCCACTATCTTCAAAGTATGAAAAAAAATCGTCAAGTGGACTTAAACCTAAAAAAATAATATTTGCATACTCATTTCACGTTCACTTGGTAATACAGCTATTGCAGCATCTGACAACATTGCTTTTGCACATTCTTCATCATATATACGTGGAATTGGTGTTGTTTCATTTATTGCTCGTTGTTTGACTTTTTCACGAAATTCACGAACTTCAAGTTTTTCTTTTTCTGGAAGATGATTATGATCACCAATCGTTTTAATCAATTGACTATTTAAATCTGTATGTAATTTAGCTGAACATCAATTAAGTGTACATATCCAATATTTAGTAGTAGTTGTTGTTTTATTCAATTTGAAAACATAGTTATTTGCTACGAGTAAAGGTTTTCCTTTATTTGAATTTATAAATGAAATAGTTGGAGATTTTGGTCGAGTAACTTCAACTGAAGATACAGCAGCTTCAGACATGACAATAGAATTTTATTTATATAATAGTTCTTCGTTCAACTCCTTTATTTAATTTATATTAGGTATTAGTCATTACAATTACTACTGGTTAAACTTCTATACTAGTAGAATTATAAGGAAAGTAAAAATGGCCTAGACGTGATTAGAGTCACCATCCACTGAAGACATTATTTTTTTCGATATTTTTCTGTTTCAGTATTCTTCCACTTCAATATTTACTTTTCGACATTTTTTCTTTCAGCATTTTTCCCTTTCGACATTTTTCCTTTTCGATATTTTTCCCCTTCGATATTTTTCCTTTCGACATTTTTCCCCCATTTTTTTCGACATTTTTCTCTTTCGACATTTTTCCTTTCGACATTTTTCCAGCACACCATCGAAAACAATTATTTCGACCAATAACTAAACAAGGTGTATCAACATTATTTAAAATAATGGCTAAAAAAGCTAAAACATGTGAACATATATCAGAAATAACAAATTATGAACGATTGGAATTTCTTGATGAGAAAAAAAAGAAAAAGATTTATTTTTTTTTGTTTATAAATTTTCTTAAAATATATTTAGATGAAGCTTTATTAGAATTTTTTGTGTCAATACATTTATTTTTTTTTATTTCCACAATTTGATGAAGGTCGTTTATCAACATTTCGTGTTGGATTAATTCAAAATCATTTTTTTACATCATTAGCACGAAATCTTTGCTTACAACATTTTATTATTTATAATCATGGACCAGATTTATGTTCACATTCTGCACTTAATTATGCGTTAGCAAATTCATTTGAAGCATTAGTGGATGCAATTTATCTCGATGGTGGATTGATGAAAAAAAGTTTATTTACGAAAAAAAAACAAATGATTTTTGCTTTGTCTTTTAGGCTATTGTTGATAAAATTTTATCGAAAATTCTTTTTTATCAAGATAAACAGTTAACGAATTTATGGAATAATTTACAAGAATATCCATTAAAAGTTCAATATCCAAATAGTGATCGTCATTTAATTGAACAAGTACTTTTATTAAAACAATTAACTAAATTTGAACAAGATATTGGAGTAGAATTTCGACATATTCGAATGTTAGCATAAGCTTTTTGTACACGATCAATACCACAAAATGATTTAACTATTGAAGGAAATGAAAGATTAGAATTTCTTGGTAGGATAGAACAAATTTTATATGAAATTTTCAATATTGGAAAAATATTTATTTATAATTTTAAAATTTAATAATCATGTTACCTGGAGATGCGTAGTATCAGTGTAAATACTGAACATTGAGTCGTCATCAACATAAGGTCCACTAGGACACTGATGTCAATACACACTAACTACATTACTTTGGCGACATTTGGTGGTCAGTATAGTGAAACTACACATCCCTAGTGTTACCATCTGTATCTCTCTATCTTAATAGAATAGAAAATTTTATGAACTATTATAGATAAATACATAAGAAATGATATTGTAAAGTAATGAATAAGAAGTGTGTTCAGATGAATCTGTCTTGGACTACAATTTTATATAGACTGACTTTTTTCGAGATATTTTCATTCTGTGTTTTGAGACATATTCGTCATCATTATACCTATACAAGTGAAAACCTATAATTAAACTATGTTGACTTTTTTAATCCATTGAGTGTATAGCTATTATTCAATACATACAGTGTTGATCTCAATATCTTCCTGATAAAACGTAACTTTGATCATTTATTGAAATTCTATTTAGGACATATCAAAGGTAGTGATGAAGGCACTTCAATACTGTGTAGAGAGGTCGTAGAAACTTTCTTTCTATATGTGATCATAGTACATAATATGAGTTGAAGAATGATGGAATATCGGGGAAATATATACAGCACTTTGATATGCCCTCAGTATTTGAACTTTCAATCTATATATTTGTACACATCTTACTAATTACAATATGAAGCAAATCGAAATTTTCAATTTGATGTACATATGATTGCTTTAAATCTATAATAAACCTAACATTGTATCTAATTTAGGTGATACTGTACTGAATTTTGTTGTAAGTGATTATTTATATCGTTATTTTTTCGAACATCATGAAGGACATTTATCATTACTTCGTTCATGTACTGTTTCTAATCCAATACAAGTTATAATCTATGACAAATTAGGTATGCAAGTATATGTAGATTATGTTCGTGAACAACTTCGTATAACAACATCAAAATTAATTGAAAAATCTTTAAAAGCTAAAGCAGATGTATTTGAAGCATTGATAGCTGCTTTATTTATTGATCAAGATTTAGAATCAATTTATGCATTTTATCGTACAACTATATTTCCACGTTTACAAGATTTTATATTAACACAGCATGGAAATGATCCGAAATCAAATTTATAACATTGTTGTTTAGCATTACGTGATCCAAATGATCGTAATCCACCATTACCTGAATATCGAGTTTTAAAATCTGTTGGATCATCAAATAATGTTCAATATGAAGTTGGTCTTTTTTTCGTAAGCAACGTTTATCTGTTAGTGTTGGACGATCAATTCATGATGCTGAAATGGCTGCTGCAAAAAATGCATCAGAACAACATGCACAAATGTTTCCATTATTAAATTATCAAAAATCAGTTTTAGTTTCATCAAACCATCATCGTAATAATTCGAAATGTAGATTAACAACAACAGGTAATAAAAATGAGAATAATCGACAACAACCATTTTCATTAAGAAATGTTAAAACGAGAGGTAATGTTTCATTAATGATTATTACATCGGCAAAAGTCACAAGTTAGATAAAATTATTTGGTGCTTTTTTTTCTCCAATCTTTTTTTTGTTTGCTTGTTTCTTGTTCTTCGGCAGTGTTCTGTGTATTACAATCTGTTTTTGTGTACTCAAAAAGTGAGTACACTCTAGAATCGGTCAGTGTGTCCGTCCGTCCGGCCAGCCGTTTACACGATAACTTTTGAAAGGAGAGTTCGATCGCGATGAAATTTTCTACACAGTTTAGTCTCAACAATATCTCGGTCGAGAGAAGAAGATGAGAAGAATTGGCCGAGCCGTTCCTGAGTTATTGCCAAAAAGACTCATTTTTTCCCTGTGGCTTCCTATAGGAAAATCGACCCATCCCCGCTTTCGTAAAACACTTTCCCTATCATAGTCAAAGAAAACCCCAACTATTATACACCATTCGATAGAGAATTTCAAGAGCTACAAAATGGTATATAAAACATAAAGAAACAAGAAGGCTAGCTCACCTATTGCAAAGATAAACAAACGGAAATCGGTTCTGTTTTTGTCTGTCCTCTAATCGATCCACAATTAGAGCTCTATCTTCCGATCACAGACATAATACTTCGAGATTTTCTGGGATGGAGAACTCGAACCTGTAATCCACTTGACTCGAAGTCCCATTGGTTGAGCACTGATCAATAGAAATCAAGTTATAGGAAAAACGAGTTTTTTAGGATAACTCAAGGCGAAGAGTCCAAATGTGAGCTGTATTCACTCCGAAATCCTATTGGTTGATCAGTAGCCAATAGAATTCAAGTGTTTATAGAAAGGATTTGCCAGGCTAATTTTTATATCCACACATTGTAGGATGACCGATTTGTCTCATTCACTTTTTGACGTACACATAACTCTCAGATTTAAATCCGAGATTTCCACATTTATTTTTGAATATTATTAAAAAAGAAGCAAAGTCTGTAAGAAAGAGAAATATCGACATTCTTTTTTCAAACCTTAACTATATTCATATTTATTTCTCTGACGTGAGATAAATGAACTGTATAATAAAGAAAACAAACGATAAATATTTATAGGAATGCTTATAGTTCTTGTAAAAGTTTATTGGTAAATGGATTTATATTTGCTATAACATATGTTGAATGTGAACTATTTTTGATGTTGGATTGACATATATGTTAGCGTCCAATCTTAGATCGGCCTAGACCAATCTAGGGTCTCATTTTGGATGAACATTGATTCAGGCCATTCTTAAACTGATCAGTTACAATACATGATCTAAGATCCACCTATGTCTATGGTGGATTGAAAGATTAGTACAGCCAATTTCGAATTAGGAACTAACTATATTGCATTCTATGTGTAGGTGTTGATTCAGCCTAAAGAATGTATTGAATAAAAACTGGAATAGAAAAATGTGAATGTCATTGAATCGCCGTTTATGCCAAAACAGGCTTCAAAAAAGTAAAAAAGTAAATTTATATCAAGCTCTAAAGGATAGATTCTTGAACACTCGTTTGATTTTAACGATCTTTTGAACATGATTTTGATCATAGTTGAATTGAATTTAATGCATTTTTATTGATTCAAAAACATGTCAACTCGATAAACGTATAGACACAGATAGTAGCAAAAAGCTCTTGATGATATGCAATCATATACAAAGAAAGGAAGAAAAGAGACATGAATGGAAGAAAAAACTTATAATAACAATAATAAAAATTCATTTGTGCGTGTTTTTGTTTTGCTGACTCGTTTATTGTTAATGTACTTTTTTGTTGATCTTTCTTGTTTGTCATAGTTGTATTATCACAAGAAATCCAAAAGAATCATTCAATCAACATTATGGCCAATGGTGTTTTTTTTCGCAGAACAAAATTCTGTATTTGCATAGAAACATTAGGAGGTATGCACTACAATGATGGTGTTTAGTTCTTATTATTTTTCATTGAATAAACAAGAATTTGTGCCTCAATATCACGGTCGATTTTTGTTAAAAGAAATACAAACGATACTTTTTATTATTTTTGAAGTGTAGGTAAAAATATATGACTCTCTTTCGCATGCATACGAAACAGAAATCATTGATAGATGAGATTTATAGTCAAAGTTTGCTCTGGTAATATTTATCGTTTTCAATTAAAACATATCTCTTAATATATTGTGATGCACATGAAAATTGTGCGAATCTCGAGTATGAACAAATAAAATTGAATATTACTTGTTCATGAATCGGACCAGTCAAAGGAAGAGCGAGAATTAGCATA